AGACAATTATCGCAACAAGAATGCCTTGCTGACTTACAGTCTGTTTTCGGCAATGAAGCGCCACATTAGCCTACAATTTCCCGTTGGTATGGACGTGGAAGGGTGAGTCTTAGCGACGATCCCAGGGTGGGTGGATCAAAAACGGAAATCACCCAGGAAAACGTCGATGCTGCGCGCAAACCCATCATTGAAGATAGACATGTGACATATCGCGAGATTGAGGCTTCCTTGAGGATCTCAAAGACCTCAATTCAAAAAATTTTACATGAAGAAATAGGAGTAAGAATTGGATACCCCACCTGTTGATAGAAAGCAGCCAGTATTAGTTGGTGTCAAAAAACGCTTGATTGTTTCAATTCCGGAAACTCAAAAAATGTGTACAGGATTGTTGGTGGTGATGAATCGTTGATTTACTGTTATGAACCAGAAAATAAACGACAGTCGGCTGTTTGGGTGTTCCAAGGTGAAGAAAATCCAACAAAAGACACCCGTTCTCGATGTGTTTCGAAAAAGATGATCGCGACATTTGTGTCAAAAGCGGGTATTTCAACAATTCCTCTTAATGAGCAAAGAGCTGTTACTGCGGGTTGGTATTCCACCATTTGTTTGCCAAAAGTCATCACCGAATTTCGAAAAATTAACCCCGAAAGAAGAATCATCCTCCACCAAGACAATGCAAGCTCGCACACAGCCCAAAAAACAAGGCAGTATTTAACGGAAGAAAACGTGGAATTATTGGACCATCCTCCATATAGTCCCGATCTAACGATTCTTTACTTATCCGAAAGTTAAAAACAGACTGCGTGGTCAAAGGTTCCAGTCACCAGAAGAAGCAGTTGACGCATTCAAAAATGCCGTTTTGGATATGCCAGCAAACGAGTGGAATAAGTGCTTCGAAAATTGGTTCGAGCGCATGCATGCAGATGTGTATAGTCAACGCCAAACAAAGTGGCGTGCACGTCATCACGATAAAAATTCCCCGACCTAATGCCTAGGTTTCTATCACAAACAATTTGTAAATAGAAGTGATGTATCACAAAAGTAAGATCTTATTATAATAACTTATCAGAAATTTGCATTAATTTGTTAACTAAATTATAATGTCATATTACACATGGTTTCAGAAGAACAAGTTACGATACAAACTTTATGGTCTCGATTAAGAGATAGGGCATTATTTGATGGTAGTGCCACGTCTTTAAGGCGGTTGCTTAGAGATCTTGGATTTAAGTGGCTTAAGGACAATCCGCGACGAGGGCTCATGGAACTACCAAGTATAGCTTTGAAAAGGGTGGAATTTCTAAGGCAATACAATCAAACCAAGGTTGAGGCCTTATACCAGTTTGTCTTCCTCGATGAAACTTGGATATTTCAAAATGGGACCATAGGTCGCTCTTGGCAAAATGGAAACCAAAAAAGCGTGAAAGCTATTAAAACAGATGGTAAAAGGTATGTACTTTTACACAATTTGCACTATAAAATTTAAAACTAATATATTTTAGATACATTATATTACACGCTGGAAATGAAAATGGGTTTATTGAGGGTAGTGAAGCGATATTTTCTTCGAAAACAAAATTGAGCGATTACCATGGAGAGATGAACCAGGACAATTTTTTGAAATGGTTGCAACATCAGTTATTATAAAAATTGGAGAGTCCATCTATGATTATACTGGATAACGCCCCTTATCACAGCATGATATTGAACAAAGTGCCCAACAATGCATGGACAAAAAAAATATCCAAGACTGGTTGACAAATCAAAACATACCATTTTTAAACACAATGTTTAAAACAGAGCTATTGAGTATTGTTGCTCGGTACATAATGTTTCTTAATTATATACAGGGTGTTCCATAATTATTGCGACAAAATGATAGGGGTTGTAGAGGGCATCAAAATGAACAATTTTGCCTTATAAACCCCTGTTCGGAAATATGCCGTTTGGGCTGCAGTAAAAAAAAAAGATCAGTATCTTGAAACAGCTTACCTACAGTAATTGCTCAAAGTGTCCTCCAACTTGCTCAATACACAGCTGGGCACGATTGTTCAATGATCGGCGAACTCTGTGGCATACCCCCGGTATGTCCTGAACATGTGCGGACGCGGCCATCACTCTTCCCAGTAGCTCTTGTTGGTTGGGAACAGGAGTTTCGTACACTAAAGCTTTCAGATGGCCCCAGAGAAAATATTCCAGTGGGGTCAGGTCGGGTGACCGCGCAGGCCAAGGCACAGGCGTCCAAATACTGCCGCACTTGTAAAGAAAAGTGGGCTGAAGCGCCATCTTGATGAAACGACATGTTGGCTCTTATGTTCAGTGGCACATTTTCTAATAGTTCCGGTAGCACATGATGTAAGAATCGACCATAAGCATGCCCATCCAAACGTGGTGGAAGCAAATATGGCCCGATGATATGCTCGCCCACAATGCCGCACCAGATGTTAATTGAAAACTGATGTTGGTCTCTATGGATGGCTATGGCATGAGGGTTTTCTTCATCCCAAATCTGACTGCTACGGCTATTAAAATAACCGTCCTTTGTAAAACAGGACTCGTCAGTGAACAAAACGTAGCGACCAAAGTTTGGTTGCCTCAACTCCTGCAGCAGCCACCAACGACAAAATCGTCGACGTGGCAGATAGTCTTCTGGACCCATGGCTTGGACTTTTAAAAGGTGGTATGGGTGTAGTTGCTGGTCATGGAGAACCCGCCAAACAGTAGTTTGAGACGCTCCCATATCATGTGCAATAGCACGCACCTTGTACGGATTGGCCTATACATGATGCAGAATCGCTTCCTCAAATTCTACTGTGCGCCTCGTGAAGGGTTGCCATGCTCCCGCGAGGTGTCTGATGCTGCCACTGACACGAAGACGTCCATGAATCCTTGCAAAAATGGCGTGATGCGGATGAGAACGTTCTGGAAACCGTTGGGCGTAGGTTCGCGAGGCTGGTCTTCCATTACCACCAGCTTCTCCGTGAATTAAATGCATATCCGCAAGTTCCGCATACGAATAACGCTGCATTTTAACACTAAGGTACCGTTATTTACTATATAGTTAAACCGGTGAGACCATGAAATGTGCTAGACGAACATTTTGCAGCTGGTGAATTTTTTGTTTCTCCTATGAGCTCTTAAGGTAAAATTAGCGGTAGTGCTCAAACGGCATATTTACGGACAGGGGTTTATAAGGCAAAATTGCATATTTTTATGCCCTCTACAACCCCTATCATTTTGTCGCAATAATTATGGAACACCCTGTATATTTTGGTCGACAGTTTATATTTCTTTTGTTTATTCCTTTTCTTAAAATAACTGCTTTTTTAGAAACAAACCACCTAAAATATACGTGATTGATGAATTGGCGGAACAACATGGGCACAAAGTTCTTCGTCTGCCTCCTTACCATTGTATATTTAACCCTATTGAGTTAATTTGGGGCATAGCAAAAGGTTACTATAACAGACATATTGGTAGAGATGGTAACAGTGAAAAAGACTGTTTGGATATGTGGAACGAGGCTCTACAAACGGTTACCCCAGACATGTGGAAAAATAGTGTTCGACATACTGAGCAAGAAATTTTTAAATGGTATGAAAGAGAACGAATTTTTGATCGACCAGACATCGAACCTTTAATAATCAACTTTGAGAGTGATGAAGATTCAGATTCAGACAGCGCTGAAGAAAGAAACTCCGACTAACTTTATTGTACAGAAAAAGCTTACACCAGTAGCTTACCTAATTTTAGAATGCATTTTTCAGTATGAATTCTGTAAAATAAATACCATGCATAAAATATGGAGGACCCCATTTGGATTTTTATTCAGTACCTTTAAGCTATCAATTAAATATGGTAGTTTCATAGTGTCATCTGATCAATGATTGTCATACTTAATGATTATGCAAGTACAGATCTATAATTTTATTATACTATTATTTTTGTTCTCATTTGAGGTTAATATTGCTTATAAACCTAGATATGTAAATAATAAATTTTATTATTTTACAAAAAGTTTGGCAACAATGTAAATTTTTCAACACAACCACCTTGATGACGTGCACGCCACTTTGTTTGGCGTTGACTATATTAATGTTCGTGGAGATACTTCGAAAAACAATTAAAGTCACTTGAAGCTACTTACCGTGTTGTTTTATTTCCATATGCAAAACTTAAAAAAACATTCTGCGTATACACCTATTATCACTTTATTGATTGGTTTCGACTTGTTGGCATGTTTATTATAAATTGAATCCGTCTACATGTTTCATTAACATATCAGTTAAAAATTGTCTTAATATTTATAAAAGTTGTTAGTCGCAAGCATAATAATATTTTGCTTTGGTAACTTTCCTTTATAATAATTATAGGTCTCCTGAATTTTACTTTATTGAAACTGACGAAACAGAGGAGTTGAAGGAAATTGAGTTTTTGCAAGCAAAAGTGTTAAGATCTGGAATAAAGGACCCTATTGCAATGCAAAAGCCTTCTGGGATTTTCAGCAGTAGAAAACAGCAAATTTTAAAGAATTTAGGAGAAATTATACCAGAAAATCGTCAAGAATTACCTACTTCTGTCGAGCAGTATTATTAATTAACAGAATATATTTTCCTTTCAAAGTTGCCTTTACGTACCATAATTTTTTTTTCTAAACTTACTTTTTAAGTTAAAGTTATGTTTATATAAATACATGTGTTTTTTAATAATTTATATTCGTAATAATAAATAATAAGATATTAAAATACATAAAATGATTTTTTCTTGGCGCAGATATAAATTTTTATCATAATTACATAGTTAAAGCCAAGCATAAGCCGAATTTGAATTATATGTACGTGGTTTTAACTAATTATTTTCAACATAATGCGTTGCTTTCTTAGCCCGTATATCGCATAACTAATAGCTATAGTCTAGTTTTGCATATTTTTTCTTAAAAATAATACAAGTTATATGATGAAAGATCTTATTTTATTAGTCAAGGAAAAGTACAACATAAACAGCAAAAAATCTTTAACAGCGGTTCTCTAAAACTTGTTCAAGTGGAGATACAAAGGTCTTTCTTGATAGGCAAGTATAGTATATAGTATATATACTTCATTTAGAAATTTCCATAGATAAATATCTGGGGCTCTCAGACCAGGTGAATTTGAGGGCCAGGTGACATTGTCTGCCATGAGCTTTCCCTTCTTTGAAGACGCTGCAGGCTTGCTTCCACTAGTAAGCGGTATCGCGATATAATGAATACGTCTTGGGAGGCTTAGCCTGTAACAAATATCATCCGCCGGAGCGTTTTTTTAATAATGAATCTCATGCCAACAAAACATGTATAATAGAGCCGCTAAACAACAATGTTCAGGAAGATTTTTAAAATATTCATTCCGCAACCGACCAGAATGATGGAAATGTAACCAAGAAAACTAAAATAAGAAATTAGATCAATTTCGTTTAACGAAATAAGATAGCACAAAGTACCATCTACCACCACTTTGTGCTGTCTTATTTCGATATAATCTCTATCATGTATAGAACATGGTTGCTCAGATTTCGCTCGTTGGTCTGCCCGAGACTAAGCCTAGACCATGCTGATGAGTTGCTAAATAGCACGAAACAGCTGTTCCTGTGGCTATCTGAAATAAATATTACTTTTTTCAGTTAATTTTAATGTTATTGGCGAAACAATTGAGTTACCTATGTATTGCACACCCTCTATGAACAGCTTTACTCTTCGGGTTGATTTCAACAAAGTAGGGAATTTTTTATTTCTTGTGACCATTTTTCGTGGTCCCTGCTCTATGATGCCTTTCGGTGCTTCTATTTGTATTGCTATTCTGCAAACTGTGCCATCTAAAGCTCTTATTTCACTCGACTAACCTAATTTAGATATCCGACACTAGCTGCACCTGCATTGTGTGCATAGTTGAATTTAAAGCTACAGTTCAACGTCGGCGGAGCACAAAAGCCCCATCCGTAAGTGCAACAAGCAGCGAAGCCTTTATCTAAATACCGCCAGAGATACAAGAAACCCCAACTCCATTGCGTTTCCTGCAGTATGTCCTCGTTGGCATTACTAATCGTAAGTCAGGTCTAACTTTATCTATTGCATTTCCAAAGTTAAGTACTGTTAGTCGAATATTAGTTCAAAATTTAGTCTCATGCCACAAAACATGGCCAGGGATTAATTTGAATGTCCATGAAAGTTGGACAATGTTGATAAAAACGCAATATAAGCGGGCTAGTGACATTGTTGGCTAGAAAATCAGGCTAATGCCCGTCAGACATAACCGATGGTGGTGGAAGGTACACTGAACGTGACATTTTTGCGTTACTCGCAGAAATACTCATAGTTTGGTCAACTTTTAGTTGAATTTACTATTCAAGCAGGTATGGAATTCTGACGAAATGTGCCATCGTTTTACGAAAACCATTAAATTTATTCCATTAGCTCAGAATTAATTCCTAATTGCTTTTCTACGCATGTCCAAAGTAATTGTAGTTCAAAACTATTTCCAAACTATTCTTGTGGAACAGAGAAGTAAAATCTGAAACGAGATGGCAGATTTAACAAGAAATGAGTGGGTTGATGAAGTATCTTATAGAGTAGGAAATTGAGTGTTAAATGTTAACAACATCTGATTGACTTGAAGAATAATATTACTAGTAACACATTTGAAACAACTTGATTAAAATTGTCAGCACCTGGTTATCTAATCTTCATTTTTCGTTATCGGAACTCCTATAATCAGATCAAGATCTTCTTCCCTTGAATCTGTTCCAAGATAATCTTGACCTTACCAAATTTTTGAAAATGCATAGCTGATGGTACAATAAGCGGTTGAGAATTAACTTTGAGGTATGAGAAGATTGAAAAGTCAGAAGAGGTACAGAATGGTAGCCACAAAACTCAGCTTCCCAGCTATGATCAGCTGATCGACGTCTCATAGTCTGTAAATGCGCTTGCACTAACAAACCTGAGCTTTTACTTCTCTCTCAGAATCAGAACTGTTGAATCCGGTCACCGATCAGAAATCAGAAAGTACGGATTTTATTGGAACACAGAACTGCTAGTTACTGAATCAGTTCAATTTTCAGTTGGAATGGTAATTTCGATCTGTGCATGCTCTGTACAGTTCAGAACTAGTTTGACGGTTTAATGGGACAAAGCTTTTACTCACTCTAGAAACAAACGCGATGACAAAAAATCGTTTCTTGACGTTGAGGAACATCATAACCGTATTGCTAAGATTAAATAAGCAAGTTCCTCGACGTTAGCTCCAGGATCCAAATGTTAATATGTATGTGTTTTGTACTGGTTGTTTCTTTAAAGTCGCACTTCCTATGCCTAATGCTGGTAGGTACCGTGTATCACGGGAAAGAAAGGGTGGGACCTCACACAACTGCCTTGATAAAATAGTATACTTATGTGCTGTATATTTCTTCAAACATGGGTTCTAATACACCTATAAGCAATATATTCTACAACCCATATCTCAAAACTGCCAGCGAATTTGTGCTTTTCACCTGGATAAACCACTTTCCATTTGTAAAGTCCTATCTATCGGTCTCGTATTACTTATGGCTATTGATCTGGGTACTTGAATGCCTATGCTTGTGTAGTGCAACATTTGCAGGTTGACGAAAAATACTAGAACCACAACCAGAAGCCAGTATACGTGGTATGCCAATTAAATTCCGGGAATTTGTCAAAAAAAACAAGCAAATCAAATTTCACGTAAAATTTTATTATCGACCTTCACAATAGTCTCCAGTTAACTCTACACAATGCTTCCATCGCTACTCCCACGATTCCAAACAAGCTTGGTAATCCTCTGAAGTTAGCACCTTCGTTACAGGTGCTTTCACCTCCTCTATGCCACCACGACATATTCCTATACCCTTCATCTTAGAGTATAGGATTATATCGCAGGAGGGAATATCGGGGCTATAAAGTGGGTGGGGCATCGTTGGAATGCCCTCGATTTTCGTATTTGTTTTTGTTCGTGGGTCAGAACTGTTGAAACAACCCTCTCTGAACCGTTTTGCTCATTCAAGCCCGCGTGTTTTCGACATACGCTTGTCTTCATTCGTCACCTGCAATTTTTGCAAGATTTCCGAAAGTTTTTCGTCTGATTTCACTAAAAATTGGATCTCAACACGTTGTTTGTAATGAGAGTCACTCATTTTCGCGACGCCACTCAAAAACTTTCCTTCAAGAAACACCCAAAAAATTCAACTGTAACTCAGAAAGAGGGTGTTGTTGCTGGGCAGAAGTTGCAGTGTTGCCAAACCTCAAGTTATTGCTGCAATCCCGGAATTTAATTGGCACACCACGTATATGACGCGAGTTGCACATTGATGGATTGCTGATTTTATATAACATCTATCCCATGTTTTGTGTTTCATCGCGAAAGTTGACGCATACAGCTTGTAGAACTATTTATCACTTCACTTGGGTGCCTGAGGTTGTCTGTAATGTTGTGTGTAGCCTGCCGAAATTGCGACAGTTAATGCACGATGGACTTCTGGTAAAACATGGAGCCTCGGACTACGACAAAACCGATCCAATCTACTTAACCAATGCCTCCGGTCGACCAGAATAATGATTCATACTCCATAAACTCTGAAATATTTAGGCGAGCTCTGCATTCGTGGAAATTCGATTTCGAGTATAAAAGAAAATGCATTATGACAAATAATAAAATTCCATTTTATTCAAAGTGAGTTTTATGCGCTATGCATTAATGCTCGGAGCATTTAAACGGGGCCAATATTGAGTACAAAAGATGCACACGTGCGATTTGAAATTAAGCTTTATGCAGCACTCTATTTCCATTTTTTGCTCCGCTGTAATATTAATGAAGGCTTCTCTGTGGGAGCTAATAGTCCGGTAAGCCACAGGTAAAGGACCGTTCTCATTGAAAGCAACTAGCAGCCGCAACCTCCCGGCATCCAATCCACGCAGGCGTTCAGAGTGATAAGCCGATCTAAGCCCATAAGCTGGAGAGAAGGTCGGTAGCGACTTTGTTTTTGTCTCTGTCGAGGGACCTAAAAACTATCACTGCTTTGGGATGCTACAATCCGGTACCGTTTATTGCTCCGAAAACACAGTTTTGTCCCTTGGCTACTAAGAAGTGCACTGCCGTTCATCCAGCTTCGATGGATGGCCGAGTTCTGCCAAGGAGCCATTCGTTTCGTCTATTCTGAGTTCATGTCACCATTGACTTGATTTGTCAGGAACACATCTCGTGAATCGGGACAGCTGTTGGGAGAAAGGTTCGTTGTTTTCTCAGAGCTATGAAGTACTTCCGATCCCATCATGAACTCCTCACTGCGTACAAGCCCGAGATCGGATCCAACCTCGACTGGTACTCGCTGTTCAGAGTTGGGCCGCCCGATTGATCGATGACACTACTCGAGACACATTTTCACACCGACAGGTGGTCGGCAATCTGACTCTCCTTTACCGCTATGCCAAACGGCTTTGCTCGTTAGAGCCCTCCTCCCGTTGGGCTGGCCAGACATACTCGCCATACTTCTGCCTCCCATCTTATTACTGCTGAACTTTGTACACCCATATTTGATCAGTACGACAGATTCTTTGTTCCTAGGGTAACAAGCTTGTGCAACAATCTGCCTGAGGAGGCATCGGATTAACAAAATGTCTTTAATCTCCTTATAGCAGTCGCCAGCACGGTATCTATTGTATATTTTTGCCTACGCCGCTGCTCAGTATGAAATTAATCTGACTCGGCGCATGTATCCAGAGACAAGTGTTCTCACCATAGCGACGGAAACTCGACCAGTTGTTGAATGAAGGTGAACATTGCTGTCTCTGGAGTTAGCTTGAAGTTTGCCATGTGTTGAGGTAATATGACATCAGTGGATGTCATTATTATATTTCAGCTAACACACAGAACTCATCCTCAAACAGTTCATTGATAGTTAAATAAAAATTCGTCTCCATCGGGTTTTTGCGTCCTTTGAAGTGATTGAGTTGGAGAAGTAAAGTTGAAGACCTTTCATATCCCAAATATTCTGCGCGAAACCAGAAAACTACTATAAAGAGTCGGTACTTATATCACGATTCATGCGCACTCCTAACTTTCGTTAAAAATAAAAGACATTATATATTTATGTTACGCCTAAAACCTGAAATGCGGTGACAACTAGGTATAACCGATTAGAACTAGGTGTAGCCACTGGGAGTCAGTTAGTCTTAGGTGTAGCCTATACATTCATGGCCAAACCTAGTATTAGCCGGTTTC